TCAACCTTGACTTTACATCAGAAAGAACAAACATTAAAGAAGTGACTAACTGCATCAATTAGGGTTAAAAAACGTGTATTCAGCTAAAACATATACATGGCTGCAGTTATTATCCAGTGGAAAGTCCTTACCTACTGGCCTAGTTAAATCCTTTGTGCCTGCTGTAGCCATCAGGCTGCACAACAAGGGGTCAACAATGTTACTGGACATAACTACACACTGTTTCCATACATCCATGCCAATATATGTAATATTAATGACCCAATATGTGTTCATTTTAATTTTCATTCATTTCTTACTTCATAGTTTATATGTCCCAATGTGTAACTAGCTATATATGCTCATTTTTATTTTTATGTTGTATTCATTTGTTATTTCATAGTTTTTCATCATTTGTATTTGTATCTTTGATTTTATTAATCTGTGTGAATCTGTGCTGTCCTGTTTTTCATTCTTACCCTGTTGCTGTTTGAACTACTGAATTTCCCCACAGGGATTAATAAAGGTCCATCTTATCTTAAATCAAAGTGGTTACTTTTTTTTAGCTTGGCAGTGTAGTTTTACACACCGTCTTATTTGACTTTCTCAGGACTTAAAACTGTTTTTGGGGGGCAGACCCCCACACAGAAAAATAAATATACACACATACAAGGTCATAATTGTAACAGTTTTTGTATTATCATCCATTCCGTGAGCAGAGCATCAAGTTGGTGTGCTGAATGCGGCGATTACCATCTTGTTCAGAAAAACACCTCACAAATGTATTAAGATCCAAAGCTTTAGTGCGTTTTGATTCAATGCTGAGTACAGACACAGACTTGACAGTCTCTTCTCTGTCATTGTAGAACGTAAATACCTCATTCCTTGGGTTGGTTTATCTATTTGGGATTCACCTTGAACTTTCCTCATGTAAGAGTTTGCAGGTTTTTCCTGAGTCAATGCGGGTTTTCCCACCACAAATAGTTGAGAATAAATGGCTTTTTTTTTGTGACAGGTCAAATGTAAGATAACCACAAGAGGGCTCCATATTCTTTATAAAACATTTTCTAATTACTGTACAATGCATGCATCTGTGCATTTTCTACCCATACCGTGCAGTTGATACAAATAAAACAAACGTATTTACACATCATAAACATGGGGCCAATTTCAGCCTTACATCTCTTTGACACAAGGGGAATCTGTAAATAGCTTTCATTTAAAAATTATGAATTTCAATTGGTTTGTGAAGTGTTTCTGTGTCTTAGCACAGTACTTAAGTGGGTTGAAGTATTTGACCTTAATTCACCCTTCAGACAAAAGTTTGCTTTTGTTAATCCTGAGTCTGCATGTGCTTTACATTGAGAGGATGAAACATTTACATTGATCCGTGGATGTGACCGACAAAGCCTGCAGGAGAAGTTTCTAGTTTAAATCCAAGACATAAAAAAACACCGCCATGGGATCACTTTGAATTTTTTTATTTTAAACTTTGATTATATGAAAATGTATGTTGGACAAATGCAGGGTTTGTTTGGTGAGAGCCCAAAACAATGACAAGAGAAAAAACAATATGCCAATTAATGGAAGAACTTGATTGATCATGTATAAAATGTTCTTACTGACAAACGTTTTGCAGATAATAACACATTAAGCACAGGATAATTGTATAACTGTACATTTTACATTCAAACAAATAAAAAATAGTTCAAAAGAATAAATCCCTGCTTTCTCCGCGTCATACAGTATTATGATATATTGCTGAATTATTATGGCTGATGCTTTGAGTTGGATCTATATTTTCACAGTGAACAAACAATGTATTTGTGAAATAGTGGAGTTAAAAATACAGAGTTTCTCTGTATTAGAAGTATAAAACAGCACGAATACTGGAGCAAAGTACATCTAAACAAAGTATTGACGTTTTCTTCTCAATATTCTGAGCTGCTGTCATGCAAAATGAGTGGAAATCTGTTTACTTGGAATCCCATTCCCTTTGTTTACAGCCAATAACAGCCCATCATCTTGGAGATAAATGACTTCCCATTAGTCAAATGTTTATGACTATCTTCAACGAGCTCCTTATCAATTGGCTACTTATTTACAGATAACAGATTCAAATTCAAAATGCCCCTTGTAGCCCCACTTGTGAACTCCTTGTGGGTGGCACTAATCTGGGTGGCACCAATCTGTAAGAAGCCTTGTGATTGGATACTGGACACGTCACTCAAAATATAGTCTGCTCTCATTGGTCCTAAGCCAAAAACATGTATCCTAGAAGCCACGCCCTCTTTCATGCAGCACCCGTCGGAAGTTGCTGTGTGAAGTGGAGTTAAAAACGGGATTTTGAGGCAGTTTTTAAACTCTTCGACATTCCTTTGGACATTTTTTATATTCTGTTGCAGACACAAAAGAACGGTAAGTCGTGGGTTTGAAAGGAATTACATATTGCTCACTTAAATGCAAGAAAAAAGGGGAGGTCCGAAGTCAGCTAGCTAGCTAGTTAGCATTTGTAATTATTAGCCATCACGTTTTAACTATCATTTAAAATCAACAACATTACAGTCTCTTACAATACATCGTGACATTTTGTTAAGCTTATTTTATTAAGATGTCTGTTTTGTTAGTTGTTGTCAACTATGAAGTTACCTGTACCTTTTTATATCGTGGCATCGTCTAGCTAGCATCTTTGGCTTTATTTTAATTTTATAGTAAATTATAAGTGATTGATAATTATATTTTGTACTGGCACGATCACCGAAGTTTTATGTATAATTATTTAGCGAAATGTCCGATTAAGAAAGCCAAGCGACAGTGAAATGTGCACCGATAGTATCTCGTCGCTATCTGAATAAATACAGAGGAACACACACTAGTGCTGTAGTAAGAGTAAGACGTTGGAGTTGTTTACATTCCCGGTCACGTTTTTCTGAATCAGAAATCCTCTATTAGTCCCGCAGCTGGGAAATGTACTGTATCAAAGCAAATCATTGGCATAGCAGGTTTACAAAAAGGCATGCAATAATAAAGAATAAGCTTATTGAATGTGGAGAAAACAAAAGACACACATTAGTCATAATAGAAGTACAAATCCATGGCTAAGAATCAGTGGTGTACAGACGGTACAGACACTAAGTACATCTACTCAAGTACTGTCCTTAAGTATAATTTTGAGGTACTTGTACTTTACTTGAGTATTCAAATGTTCTGCTACTTTGTACTTCTGCTCCACTACAATTCAGAGTTTAATGGTGTAGTTTTACTCCATTGAATGTATGTAATACTTTTAGTTACTTTACAGATGTGGATGAATGATGTGAAATATAATCAAGTGTTAAATCAGACTTTAGTTCCACCTGGAGTAAATTCACAAGCTACCCTGCAGTATACAAAGTCCTTCAAACTAGCTGCACCTTTACCAGCTTTGAGAACACTTTCATGATCAATCATTATAAAACATATCATATCTATTATTCTGAAATGGACCAATCTGCACAAGGACTACTTTTACTTTTGGTTCTTTAAGTATATTATGATGCCCAAACTTTTGTTATTTTACTTGAGTAACATTTTGAATGCAGGACTGTTACTTGTATTAAAGTATTACTACACTGTGGTACTTCTACTTTCACAAGATTGTCTGTATTGTGTAGGCGTCTACCAGGGGCCAGGGTGGTTATACAGTCTGACTGCTACAGTACACGGAGCCTCATGTGTCTTGTTGCCTGTCCTGTCTCTAGTCTACTGGGCAGTATGTTGGAGTGCGGCATGCAGGAGCAGGACAGACGGGCTCTGCGGAGAAACGCTGCTGTCCTCTGCAGACAGCTGGTGGTGGACGAGCTGCTCATTCAAATCCTACAGGCGGACAGCATCCTGACTGAGAGCATGGCCGAGGGCATCATGGTATGTGGACTCTGATATACAGGGTCCCCGCGGATCCTTAACAAGTCTTTAAAGGTCTGGAATTTTAGGAGGGGAGTTATTGAATGTTATCTGGGGCAGAATGAATGAGTGTGCAAGGGGAGGGGGGGCATTGGTTTCCATTGGTCTACTGCCATACGATTTTTCTTTTGTCAATGCGAAGGCAGTCATGTTGGGCAATGTGCACTGAATATCTCCCGTTATTCAAATGCCATAAAACTCAGTAACGGTTTACACTGTTGTCTAGTTCATCGATTTTTTTGTATTGGTATTATTTTTTCCTTTTTGAGGTCTTAAAAAGGTCTTAAAAGTCATTACATTTGTACTTCAAATATGTGCAGATACCCTGAGATATGATTATTATTATTATTATTATGTTTGCTATAAGCTGTCTATCTGTCAACAGGTGCATTTATGTAATTTATTTTTATTTTTAAGCTGAATTCATATGACTTTGAGTCTGTTTAATTAACCTTTTGATAGCACTGGGTATTTCAAATGTAATGCCGTATTTATTCATCTCAAGATTGTGTGATTTTCTATTTTCTTACTGTGCTCATTAGCATTTATAGACCATTTTTTGGTTTGCTTGTGTCTTTAGACAATACATCGTAGGTTAATAGTCATCTCAAAAAAATACTTGGCACTAGTTACAGCATCTTAAGCGCTTTTCAATGATAATAAACATTCTTTCAGCTCAGCAGCAAAGGGACTTTTCAATGATTGAAATACACGTCTGCTTGAATAGCCTTCCCCTGGGGTCAATAGGATCACTCACTTTTGGCTTTCCTGTAACTTGATTTTAAGATACATCTGATTAAGGGAAAGCCTAAATACATTGGTTTCTCCGTGGCTTGTTATAGTGGTTTGATGCCCCCTCTGAACCTCCAGCGTTAAAATGTTTTCATTATTTGTGATTGTTATGTTTTCTGGTTTGTCTCCTCTGCTGTAGGCCAAGCAAATATCTCACAAGCGAAGCTTTGATTTACTCCTTCTCCTGCCGAAGCGAGGGCCCAGAGCCTTCAGCGTCTTCTGCTCAGCGCTGCAGGAAACTGAGCAGCAGCACCTGTATGACCTGATCAGACAACCAACAGAAATATATAGCAAGGAGACATCTTTAAAGGTGAGTGTGAGAAGAGAAGTGCAGTGCAGTTTCTACACTGCTTTCTGCTCACAGGTTATTCAGCCTGAGGAAGAGCCAGAGGGAAGTGCAGTGCGACTAGTCATGTCTGAAAAGAAGAAAGAGGTGGTCAGTGACTAGGATCCTTGCAGTCATGTGTCACTCTTAGTATTTTCAAAAGACTGAACAGAAGCTAAAGCCTAGAGAACTTTATGTCATTAAAAATCTGTCTTTTTTTACTGAGATTTCACATTTGTCAGCTAACAGTTAGAGAAAGAAAGTTTCACATTTCCTACGACAGTATGGTGAAGTGAAATGGTCTTCCGCAGACGTCCTCAGTGGACACAGGAGAGGAGAACGAGGTGCGCAGAAGCTCATCGAGCCCAGTGCGAGCCGCAGATAGCTGCCTGCCCTCAGAGTCTCCAGGCAGGGAGGAAGACAGGAGCTCACAGAGGACGAGGAAGAGAGGAAGAGAGGAGCAGACACATGTGAGAATCACAAACCACATCCATCTTGTGTCAGACAACAACCAGATGATGAGGTAGTCAGACCGCAGGCAGGAGGATATTTAAGTCAGGAGTGCAGGTGACCATGACCACAACAAGCAATCACTGCTGCCACAGAGAACATCCTTCATTATAGCGCTAGGCAGAATGGATCATATCTAACAATATTCCTCACTAAATACCTCAATATGGCTAAGATGTTGTACCGTTAAAAATGTTTACACAATGAGATTGTGAAATCACTCTACTGTAAGGCAGTGTATCTGTCCTCTTATCAAAGAATGGAGTATAATCAATAAGTGTAATGTTAAGGTGCGTACAGTGTCAGCCCAGGTGCTGCAGCAGATGGGTGTGTGAGAGCTAGTTCACACGGGGTTGAACAAGTGTGTGTGTTTGTCAGGTGTGATTCAAATGGGGGGATGGGCACATAAGGGGGGGAAAAACACAGTGTGTGTGTGTGTGTGTGTGTGTGTGTGTGTGTGTGTGTGTGTGTGTGTGTGTGTGTGTGTGGACAGCTGTATTTGCACACTGCACTCAACAGGGTTCTTACGGTCATTACAAATCTGGAAAAGTCATGGAAATTCAAAATGCTAATTCCAGGCCCTGGGAAAGTTATGGAAAACAATATGTTTCCCAAAGTTTTGTAAAAGTCATGGAAATGTAACTAAAGTTGCATCAAATATAATTTACATT